GTGGAAATATAAAAAAATCAAGTTGATAAGCCATGTGGAAATATAAAAAAATCAAGTTGATAAGCCATGTGGAAATATAAAAAAATCAAGTTGATAAACCAAGTGGAAATCTACAAAAATCAAGTTGATAAACCAAGTGGAAATATAAAAATATATAAAAAATCAAGTTGATAAATCAAGTGGAAATATAAAAATATATAAAAAATCAAGTTGATAAATCAAGTTGAAATATAAAAAAAATCATGTAATGCTGTGAATAATTAAAATTTAATTTATAAATATTCTCATTTTATAGAAATTGATATTTTTATGTATAGGAACAATAATAGCTTATATTTTAGTCACCACGAAAACATTGCATGACAATTACTAAGCAGTGATACGAAATGCTGGCATATGTTGATTACTGGTGTGAACTGCTGGTATTTTAATTTTTGAAATTTTCCTTTCCTTTCATAAATGAAGTAGAGATACAGCATGTCCATTAACTGGTAAATATTGGTCAGAGACTATATGATGAACTAGTTAACCAGCAGCTGTGGAAGCTGCCAGCAAGAATAATATACATAAAATCAATCTTTTTCGATATTTGTGGGACAGTGTTTTAATGGATTTAAACAACTGTAGGCTTTTTCTATTTTACTGCCAAAGCATAATATTATGAAGGTTGTGATGCTGATTTTAGTGGCTTCGAATTAATGTGCCAGAATTTCAGAAAATTTAATGTTAGATACATTTTTACAGTGAAGTCGGTATCGAGAAAGGTGTATTTTATGAAACAGATTTTTGGATAGAATTTGAAGTTCCACATGTGATGTTTTACTTTTAGACTATAAGTACCATGTTAAAACCAAATGTCGCTTTACACCACCAGAGCAATATATCTCATAAAAGAACAATTGTTTCAGAAATAAATGTACATTGAAAACAAATGACACATATACCTAGTTATAATTACTTTTGAGTCCAAAAAGTTGCATTATACATTTATGTTTTCACCGACAGTTCAGTCTACACACATTTGGAGAAAGTAATAAATTATTGGCAATAAAAATGTCATGACGCTCTATCATTCCTCAATGGGTGGCCATTAACAAATGATCATAAAGCATTGATTTAAATTAAATTACAGCAAAACAAAAAATAATAAAAATCTTCAATAGCCAGCCACAGCTGTAATTAAATCTCAAATTGGTTAAGAGATGGAACTATGAGCTCAAAGTTTGTACTTGAAAAAAAAACAAAAAAAACTCAGAGCCATTCTATGCTGAAGCTAAAAAAAGAAATTATACCAAAGTAAATGAAAAAAATATTCACATAGCTGGAGCTCAAAGCTATGTTATCAACATAGCTATATGTGGAAATAATGGATGTTACACTGATAAACAAAGACAAAATAAAGGTTTTTTTTTTTCCCATGTGCCATTTTCTTTCTTCATTAACACTACTAGCAGAAACACCCGCCCTCCGGGCAGATTTTATTGAAGTATTTCTTTGTATATGCAGTTATCAATGAAAGTGTCTTGCTTTTCTGTTGCAACACTCACAAGATTTTCACAAAAGAAAAAAATACTTTTTTTTTAAGTTTGTATTTTGATTGTTTTATATTTGAAACTTACTCCTTTTTTTTATTTTATTGGATAAATCTGAAACTTGCTCCTTTTTGTTTGTAATTTTTATTGGTGAAATCTGAAACTTACTCTTTTTTGTTTGTAATTTTTATTGGTTAAATCTGAAACTTGCTCCTTTTTTGTAATTTTTATTGGATAAATCTGAAACTTGCTCCTTTTTTGTAATTTTTATTGGATAAATATGAAACTTGCTCCGTTTTGTTTGTAATTTTTGTTGGATAAATCTGAAACTTGCTCCTTTTTGTTTGTAATTTTTGTTGGATGAATCTGAAACTTACTCCTTTTTGTTTGTAATTTTTGTTGGATAAATCTGAAACTACGTTAAAAAATTCCTTTACTGCATATAGCAATGACTTTGGTCTACACACATTAAACTTTCCTTTTAAAGTATCCACTTTGTCTAAAATAAACAGACAATCATTCAGAATATTTTCTCTCTGTTAGTTATAAACATGTCCATATTTCATGTAGGTGTGAGTAAATAAGTGTCTTCAAAACCACATAAATGGAAGGAAGGGGTGGGTGTGATAAACTTATTGATATCTCATAAGATCAAGAAGGTGAGAGGTTCTAATTTTATATTCTGGCCTGTCAATATCTACAGTTTGTGTTTCTAATCAATTGGATACTCTGAAACCCATAAAAAAGGAACAGAGAAAACCTAAAGAGGAGAATTGAATTACAAACTACATATGCCAAGTTTATTAACATACATTAATAATAAAGTTGTTTGATTAAATTTTGAACGTAACTCCATAAAAGATCATGATAAAGCTCACTTTGAATGAGCCAAGTTCAAAGTGATGAAAAATGGAAAAATATTTACATTCTTACTCCATTGCTCAAACAATTTAGTCAAGACTCAACCTTTCTAAGCTATTCTGAAGTTTTTAAAATTAAAAACGAGACCAACGTCTAAAATGCACAGTAAAATTGTTATTTGGCTGACGATCAAAATTAAAAAGACCACATTTTTTTGTAACGTACATTCCTCCTCTTGCTGAAACAGGTCATTGAATACAATGGCAAGAAACAATAATTTTATACGAACCTCATAGCCTAAATGAATTAAATATTAGAGAATCAATAGAAATTTTGAGCTCTAAAATAAATAATTATTTGTTAGATAGAGATGGAGGGTTAGCTGGAAAAATGCACAATTTTGGAAAGAAATATTGACTTCTTATGTACAATACTCATACCATGATACAATGAATTAAACCATTGCTTTATAAAATTACTTGCTTGTCATGTAGGATTTTACTCCTGATGATGGTAGCGTAAAGCTACCAAAACATGTGGAGTCTTTTAAATTTTGGCTTCCGGCCAAATACAAATTTTATTGTACATTTTAAATGTTGATCTTGTTTTCATTTTTAAAATCTATTCAACAAGTTGCCATAATTGAATCTTCATCTATTCTGATGTTTTTGTAAAAATTCCAAAGAAAAGGTTCTTTTCAACTTTCTCAAAAAGCATATGAATACATTAGTTGTATTTGTAAATTACTATTAAACCAGTACTTGTTTACAGCATAATGATAACTGATATTAAAATAGTCTACCTTTGGGTTCATAGTTTCGATTTCTCCATTCTCTATTCGCCATAAGACATTCTGAGTTTTATCTTCTGATATTCCAAAGTTCAAGCAATGCATAGAAACAAAGTATTTCTCCCAAACCTGTAACTCAAAGAATATAAAGCTTTACAAAGCCTCATTAAGTTACACTACTTTTAGTTTTAGTCTACACAGCAATAAAAGGTCAACTTTATACCTATACATACACACAGATTTCCATAATTTTGTTTTCACAACTACTGCACAAGAGAAAATCAGATACCTCACAATGCACGAAAAAAACTCATCCACTTTTGAGAGGCTAACTAAAACATACATTTTCATAGTATAGTAACAAAATGTAAATAAGATTCTTATTGCTTTACCTTTGTACAAATTAATAAAATCTCTGAAACAACAGCTACTAGATATACTGTATAAAGTTGTGGCCGTAACAAATATATGACATGTCTACATAATTTTTGCATCACATAATTAGTACGTATACATACTGCTAACTAGAGTTGGGCGATAAGAGGAATTTGATAACTGATTATTCATTAAGTTCATTAATTAATCACATTCAACAAAATGATTATTCTCACTTGAGACTTGGAATAATTGAAAATAGTAATGATCTGAAACACAAGTTTTGATTAGAAATTCTTTTCATAACATTAATTAACTGATTATTTTACATAACACTAAATGATGATATTAATGCTCATACGTAAATGATTATGTCGATTAACAAATATAATCGCCCAGCTCTATTGTTCACTTACCTTTATAATGTAATTGCCACATAGAAGTTATCAGTCAAGAGTACAACATACTGAAAACAGCTTTAGTTTCTTGAGAAATGACACATAAAATAACCACAAGGTTGCTATACATGAAAATCACTATAACAAACCTCTGTGTGAGCTAGCATAGCAATTGTAAAATCCCCAATCAATACAACTTCTGGTTCTCGCTCCTCTGCTTCCATCAGAAATCTCTTGTGCTACAAATATAAAAAACAGATGTTGACTTGTATTATTTTGATATTCTTATTAGATGAACCATTGAATAACTTTTTTCTAAATGAGAAAATGCTAATTTTCTTTATGCAAAAACTGTCTAATATTGAGCACTAGCAGAGAAAAGTTGACTGTTAACCGTTTGTTTTTCATATTACATGTGCTAATAATATTGTATAAAAATGTTTCATTCAGATCTATGAGTTAAACAACATTACAAGAACATTTCAAAGTTAATGAAAGTTACTATGTAGGTCTAGTTTTTCTTTGTCCAGTGTCTAAATAGCTGATGTTACCCCTATTCATACTGATATTGAAAGCAGAAATATACAATTTCAATAAATGATAGTAGCACTATAGAAATTAAAGACTATATGTATATCAGGCCTCAAAATTAGTTTTTATTGGTGCCTAATAGTGATCTTAGGAAAAAGTCATGTCCTGCAGGAATAATTACTGTAAACATATACAAATAAAATTTTAAAGAACATGTAATATGGTAATTAATAGTTTAATCATTAATAAGCGATAACACTTTTTCATGTTAAGAGTTAACTTTTGAAATGTCTTACCAGATTATGTGGGTGTTGGAAGTTTGAATTATTTCAAGTTTTTGTTGGAATATTTCATGAATATGAAGGATTATAAAGTTGATATGGGCTGGTTTCTTAGTTTGATGACCTAGAAAGACAGAGTAATCTCCTATCTACTAATTTTTTTTTGTTCGTAATTATAAATAAGATTTGATTTTTTTAAATACTATGACAATCTGTTACTACATTGTAACAGTTGTGTCTGATAATAACTTTCATTTTTCTATAGACATTTTGTGAAGTTTCCATGGTGTTTTCACAGTCCTATAAAGGATCTTACATGGGAAAAAATGGGTACAATTTTCAGCTTTATATTAACTTTCACTGCAGATGTAGATTCAATAAGTTTTTGTTGGTGTCAAAGTATGTAACTACTTAAACCACTGTGTACTTTCTTTTTTAAGATGACAACTTTACAAAAATCTCTCTGATAACATGTCGTTCTTAAACAAACCTTGAATCAATGCAAGCCTTTATGCTACTAAACTGCTCCTGTCAAATTAGTTGTTTTTCTGTTGTTGCACTTTTATCATGTATTCAACTATTGTCTAACAACAATAATAACACTAAAATAAATACTGTACTGTGGTTATAATACTAAACCTTTATATTCCTTATGGACAGAAATGTAATATAATAATGACACCAAGAACATCAGTATTTCTTAAAGTATACTTACATCAGTCATTTACTTTGGCACTGGTCACTAAAGCAGAAACACCAAAACTGCATGATTTAATTTCACAGTTCATACCTTTGTTAGTATAGAAAATTGGTTATTTCCCTTTTGCTTAAGATATTAGGCTAACAGTGGTTAACTTTAATATTTATAACATCTAAGTTCTATAAGTTGCTGAAAGTTGTAAGGTCAAGTCTATTCTTCAATTATGTTGTGGTGGCAAGTAAGGATGTAAAAACAGTCATAAAAATGGTAGCTTTCTTTTATTAAATAAAGAAAATGCACTACAAAAGTTTACGTAACAGTCTTGTGTGTAGAACAATGATATGCTGTTTGTATTTTTGTTTCAGAGCAAATTAAAGGATACTATACCTCCCCCAATCTTCAACAGAAGAGGGTGGATTTTTCTTGAAAGGGAGAATGTTGACCTTGTTTGTGGTAAGCTAATAGTAAGCATCAGCTTGTCTTGTATGGATAGACAAGCTAATTACATGTGGTAACAATTCATGGAATTTTAGCTGGTTGAATTAAAAAACTAATTTAGTACAGCTATTGCTCTACTGGTGGTATGCTACTAAAATCAGCAAAGCAGAACTTGTACATAATTGTTTGCCTAGAATTGATATATACACACACATTGTACATGTATACCAGTGTTTGAATTTTACAAGTTAAGAAAGCAAAAATAAAATTGAAAGAGTTGGTTGGTGTGTGCAATGGATGTGCTGTGCTGCTGGTCATAAATTAATGTGTTTCCTTTGCTTTGATGATTTCCATGGGAAAATTGCAACTAGAAAATGGTTAAGATATAGTAGTCTAACTATGATTCTGTACTGTTGGAGAGTTCCTTTACTACATAACCCCTTCAATGCACTGTTTTCACTTTTTAAATACCAACAAGCTAATGTAGTCATACATCCGTACCTCAAACTGAAGACAGTAAGACACAAACATCTTTCACTGCTGGTCCTATGTGAATTTGAATGTAGGTAAAAGATGGAACTATGGGCCCAACTAGGTAAAAATAGTGTGTAAAGTTTCAAGTAAATATGTATATAACCCAAAGGAGGTGTAAACAGCATTTTACTAAAACAATGTGTGCTGCAAACATCTTCAAAGTTATAACATGCTCATGTACATTGACTTCGCATGCTTTTCTGCATTTCTTTTAGTAAATTTGTCAGTTATCCAGTTTATTTCTGAAGTCAGCTTATTTTCCATCAACAGTTAGTTTCAGGAGTCAGTATACTGAGACAGTGCATTTGCTTCAACAGAAATAGAACCATTTACATTCTGTACAAAATAAACTGGATGAAATATATTATTTTTGTTTCTTTTTCTATGAAAACACATTAGGGCTAAAACTTGGATGATTTGGCTTCCCCGAGAAAAGCTTTGCAGTAAATAATTGCCTACACCTTAGACTGGCTCCAATGTCTTTAAAAACAAGAATATGCACACACACACACAAACAAACAAACATATATGAGTCAAAGCTTTGAGTCTAAAACTAACTTGACCTTAATTGATTGATTTTAAATTGTTCCTATTCTGGAGAAAGAAAGAGAGTGATTGAAAAAAAAAATTATATATTTGCATAAAAATAGATACTCAGTTATCAAAATTTGAGAAGTTTGATAAATGAGCTTATAGACTTAAAGTATACAGTAGTAAATATCTAACAGGAATGAAAATACACTAAGGAAAAAGTCTTAAATTTTTTAAGTCAAATGCTAGGCATTGAAATTGCTCAGTATGTTTGGGGGATTTGGGAGGGGGCATGCATCCTAGAAAAATTAGAATCCTCCAGTGCATTTGGGCTTTTTGTTTTATATATTTGACAGATATGTTGCCCTTAAATTTTACAGCAAGTTATTCAAATTTGATTTGATGATAATGAGTCAATTTTCAGCCTTATAGTAAAACATACTGATTCATGTTCAGGCTTGGTTAAAGTAGTTTAATATGTAGAGATTCCTTAATCCAAAGTACTTCCTCATTAAGGAAGTACTTTGAGTGAGAAAACACTTCAAGTCAAGGAATTTTTATATATTATATTAAACTATTCATATCCGGTTAGTCATTTGATACCTGCATGTGGTTTTCAGTAGTTCAATGTGTTAAAATTATAAGATTCATAAGTTCACTGCATATTGTGCATAATGAATTTTCTGGTATATCAATCACTTTAACAAGAGCAAATCCTCAATAGCTGTGGCACTTGAAATTTTTTGGGGCAGGATTAGAGTAAATTAATCTGTGAGAACTTTTCCTTTTTATTCGCTATATTTTTGTGCACCAGCAATACCAAGTGTGGGGCGAGCATATGCCCGATTCAATTTTATTACTCATCAGGATCTCTACCAACCTACCCTCAAATTGAAATTCTTTCAGGCAGAATTAGAGTAAATTAATGTATGAGACCTTGAGCACGGTCAAACACATCAATCAAAAGGGTTTGACCTCCTAAGTCCAAAACTGTAATTAGATCTTAAATCAGTCAAGAGATGATGGAGCTATGAGCTAAAAGTTCGTACTTAAAAAACTCAGAGCCATTCTATGAGCTGCTATGCTGTGGATAATAAATGTTCTCAGTTTTGACTTAACTGCTTCTGATTCGATGACCAGGAACCCACTTTGAGACTAATAATGCTTGGAGCTGGCTTGAATGGGTAATGAAGAAAAACTTTAATGACAAAACCTTGTCGAAACATTGTACATTTGCTGTTATGTTAAACTTATATTAAAGTTATTCTTCATTACCCATTCAAGCCATCTCCAAGCATTATTAACTGCTTCTGGTTTACTCCCAACAGCAAACAATTTCTAGTTCTGTCTTGAACCATCCCATATAAATTGTTGTTGTTTTTTCATCTGAACTATCACTTTCTCTAGCTATTGCCCTATCATGTCACTCAATAACCTTTACTATTTTCAAAATTCAGTCTTTAAATTAATGTGCAACTTTTCAATGATGTTTTCTTTTGAAAAATTGATGCTGTATACATTCCTTTTTGTATTGTCGAGAAGTAGTATTAACTTGATTCAGATTGGTAAAAAAATATAGTAGTTATATAGAAGATAACAAAACACAGAAAATACAGTGGCAGCACATGCTTACGAAGGCTCACCTTTGAGCATGTTTTAGTTTTGATTGTGTTATTTAAATGGCAAAATAGGCAAAACAAATTACAAATATTCCTCCCCCCCCCTCTCCAACTTTCTTATTAGGTTATTGCAAATCTCATGAATAATCCTGGGCAAAATTAAAATATCAGAAATCCACCAATCAAGTAATCACATTAACTGTAAAAAACAAATATATACTTTATACATCTTGAGCACAGTTATCTTTTCCTAATTATACAAATGCACAGTTTTTAGCATAGATACAACAATAAAAAAAATCACATTAAGCAAATCTGTTAACTAAAGTTTTGGTTGGATTGAGTAGACTATTATGGTGTGTATGCCTTTTACAAACCAACAAAGAATGATTACAATTATACTTGTCATAAGACATTAATATTAGGCCTATTACATTTTTAAACAATACATTATTTATCTAGTCCCTTAGGGATTTTCAAGAGCTAGAAGAGTGTATAACAATAGTATTTCAACCACACTATATTCATCATATCCATTGCTGACAGTGCATTTCACTAAATCCTGAGCTCTTCAGGCCAGCTGGGACACAACAAACACAGCAGTGGTCTGAACACTATATAATCCATTTGATACAAAAAGAATTGTTATGGTGTGTTACATTCATAACACAAATATAGCATAGTTAAAATACTATTATTAGACACTCTTCTAATTCTTGAAAATCCTTAACAAACTAGATAAGAAACGAAGTGCTTAGAAATGTAATAGGCCAAATAACAATGTCTTATGACAATTATAATTGGATTGAGCACATGTTAGAACAATGGTGAGGGAAAAAAATATTGAAAGAAAGTGCAAATCAACTCAACCACTCTACAAACATTGGGGCTTAATTTTTAATAATATATATCACATTAACTACTCTGCGTTGCTAAGTGACAGAAGAAAACAAAAGGGCATGAGCAGAGAAATTTAAATCTGCCTATTTTATCAGTGGAAAGTCTGCATCTGTGATGAAACTTACTTTCATACACAACTGTATGACAAGAGAGATAGTATGAACAATAACTGTTCAACTTTAATTGCCAAATATTCCATTTACAATAAGGGTATCACTCTCCCTGCAATACTATTAATACATGTTTTAATGATTTATGGCATTATGTACTTCTCTGTCATGAGACTTAACAAGTAATTTATATAGAGAATTATTTATATTGATTAATATTATATATTATTTATATTAATCATTAAATTTACTAATACATCATAAAATAAAGTAGCATGCGGACAACTATGGACTATTTGGTGCTTCAAGGCAATCTTTGCACACTCTCCCTTGAGAAGAGAAATAAGTTAAATCCACCCTTTAACTTATTTTTCAGGAAATCGTCTATTCTCTTTTTAAACTTTTGTAAAGTACTGCCTTCACTACAACCAATAACAACTCATTCTATAAGTTAATCATCCTGTTAAAAATTAAAATGGGACATTAAAATTTTTAATGTAAAAAATGCTCAACATGGTTTAATGGGTTAAATTCAAAACACATGCAAACTTTGCACATTTCAAAAGAGGCACTTCTAAATATTATATGAAATAGCTTGGACAATTTCCATAATGAAAAGAATATAATAATCATGTTAAATCATACATATAATCTAAATGAGAACTGGAAAATGCCTAACATGATTTATCGAATTTAAGCACATTTACCCATATTAAGCATTTTTTACAGTAAACATTTTAGACTGTCTCAATAAAACACTTGTCTGGAGTCTAGCCTATCTTTTCCAACTTTTAAAATTATATCCTCTCATACATGACCTTCAGAATACAGAACAATGAAATTAGAAACATTTATCCTATCAATCTCTCCAGGATAATCTTACCCTTCTTTTCTCAAGAAAAATAAGGTAAGAGATCTTAGCCTGTCTCCATAAGATAATCTTTCATCACCAGAAGCACCTTATTATTCCTAGTATCCCTCCACTGAAACTTTCCCAATAAGTCAATATCCATTTTTAAATACGATCATATATTTACAAAATATTCCAAATGAGGCCTAAATAGTGATGCATACAGAGATAATTACCTTTTTTTTTGTAATCAATACTCCTATAAAAACACACTAAAATTCTGTTAGCCTTACTAATAGCAGAACAGCACTGTCTCATTGGCTTGAGTGAATTATTTACCATGTCAAGATCCTCTTCTTCAGTCACACTACTGATTAGACAAACTCTCATCTAAATGCATGATCCAAACAGTTATAACACAAATGCATTAACTTGCACTTATTATAATTAAAGGTCATTTCCCAAATGTTTTTATGACTTAACAATGGATCCAAGTCATTCTGTGGTACCTCAACATCCTCAATACAGCTAGAAATACCCTAGTTTACGTTCTTCGCCAAACTTTACTAATTTGATAATTATGCACCTATCAGTAACAATGATGCAAGAAAAAAACAAATGTCCAGGCATTGACCCTTAGACTCTCTACTTCTAACAATGATCCAGTTTGACTGTGTTCAATAAATATAATAGCCTTTTTCTTTCTCTCATCCAATCACTCATATGATTTGATTTTCTTCGTTAATGTTCTGTATGCATATTATCAAAATATTTTTAAAAAAGTATGTACACAAAGTCTACAGCCTTTCCGTCACCCATATAACAAGAAACATCCTCCAAAAATGATGAAATATTAATAAGGAAGTATTTCCTTTGGGTAAGTCATTGTTGAGATTCTTTTATTTAACGTATTTCACTAGATAACTTCATAAACTGATAAAGGTTCTTTTATAATTTTCTCTAGAATTTTTCCCACTGCAGAAGTTGTTACACTGCCAACGTAGTAATACCAATAACTAAATAAACTGGATCTTAGTGACAACATCGAAAGATAAGCCAAATCTTCAACACAGTATGAAGCCTTTGGATAATACAGAATTGTGAGATTCCCGAGATCAGTCTAGGCCCTAGACGCGTATTTGGCGTAGTAAAAACACTAAAAATAAAATACAACAATTATCAACACTACAAGTCTAACCTCTAAGTCTAATTAGTATTTTATTAAAAAATAAAAGAATTGAACTTCCTCCCAGGTTTTTAAGAGATTACCCGGGGATTTTTCAATTGTTGAAAATTAGACTAGTAATTATTAATAATTAGTATCCCTAATAAGATAATTTATAAAGTTAAAAAATAAAGGATATATATATAACTTACCATACACATCCACTTGTCGTCCCCATAGTAATCCTCGACAAGGGTTGGTATTACAGCTGAATTCATTTCGCAAGCCAATACAAGTTATCAAAATTAAATCATTAATTAGTTTCAAGTAAAATGAGCCTTAACTTAAGGTTCTCTTGCACAATTACAAACCTATTTTGAAAATTAAAAACTATCATGCAAGTATTGCAGTTTTTAAGTAGAGCCCTTACTGCAGTTCACTCAATAGTACCAGTAGTTGTACTACAGCTTCTCGTAAATTAAATAAAAAGCCAGAGGTCTTAAAATCAAAAGTTGACTAACATTATACAAGAATCTGCTGAAAAAGTACCCAATCCAATTACAATTTTAACGGTTTTAAAAACTATTTTCTAAGCTAAGACAACCGTCTTTATTCGAATTTTAAAAGAATAAGAAAAATGTAGTTTTAATTTCTCACATCCTAATCGATAAATATTCGTCATAGATGACAAAATATTAATAAACGAAGCACAAGCTTTTAAACATTTTTCTTTAGAATCCCACTTAATTATTTCCGTAAAATAATAAAAGAGTGTTTTTTCAAACTTCACGCCCCTAGTTTGGTTCAGCGGTAAATCTGATGAATTATAACGCAAAAAACCGGGTTTCGATACATGTGGTTGCCCACAACACAGTAGCCCATTGTGTTGTTTTGTGCTTTAAAAAAACACTCTTCAGAAAAATTTTAATCAGCAACTTGCCAGATACACGATTCACTTATCTAATTACTTTTTTTCGTAAAATGTCTTGGTGATAGAACAAAATAAAATTTTATATTATCTGAAATGCTGTTTTAATTCCTCTCTAAAGGTCTTAAGTTTATTTTCGCTGTTTGAAAGCGAAGAAAACAACACTCTATCTAAGTCATTTATTCCTTAAATATTGGTTCCTCCTATGAGTCAGCAGTAAGTTTACGGACTTTAAACGCTAAAATCCGGGGCTTCGATCCCTACTGTGAACAGAATGTAGATTGTCTCTTGTGGCGCTTTGCAATAAAACAAATTGGTGTTCGGTGGTTGCAACGGCTAGCAACACAAAAGAAAAAGTACACAATTTCAGTCATCCGTTTTAAACATGTACATGCTATATAGAAAAGTCATTAGTAAATTACATAAACAAATGTCGGTTTTATAACAGCGATCTAATGAATTATAATTTTGATTGATGATTTAATTGTTGTATAAAATCAATTTTCAGCTATGCTAATACCACCAGATGGCAATATGATATGAAATTTGTTAATGTTATTTGCTGTCAAATAATGGTAAAGTGGAGGTGGTTGCATGAAAATCTCATTACGTGTATAACAATTTTAATGATTTTTATAAGTTTGCAAAGTGTAAAATCACTTTGGTAAATCACTATAACAAGAATATAAATGAACAGTGCTTTTGGCTCTGACAATGAAACTTGTTTTAAAACGGCAGTATTTCATTAAAAGAGAGGCGAGAAAATTGGAAGTTATTATCATTTTATTTGAGAATCGTGACTAAAACCAAAGAAAAAACTGTAAAAACCCATACAGTAAGCTTAGAAAATTGCCCTTAACAGAATGTGCATCAAAACCATGAAAAGTACTTATGCTTTGTCAAGGTCTTTCAATGAAAATGTGTGTTAAACAGATATCACACATATAATAAAAGGTAACAGAATGTTTTGAACTTTAGTAGAATTCCAGGTCAGAACTTGATAAATCCTGTATAAGTCAAGAACGAAATTATTTCTAGGTGTTACTCTCTATGGCATAACTCAGGGTAGTAGAAATTATTTCAATAGGTGGTTTTATTGTAGGTAAAAAACCCTGTGTTGTGAGACTATTTTATGACTATCGTGTGGGGTGGGAAATTCCTAGCAGAAGTTTGTTATGTGAATGGCGAACTATAGAGAGAAACTGAAATGTAAATGCAGCCTTCACATATTTTTGATAGTTCTGGTTCAGTTTTCAAAGCGCCAATATTTGATTGAAAAGTGCTGTTAACGTTGTGTTCATTTGTGTCAAGTTTAGTAGTACTGCGTTACAGCAGACTGTACATTTTTATTCCTTTCTCTTTTACCTTAAATTAAAGTATAGCTCTAGTCCAGTTCATTTAAAAAATAACGTACTGTTACGTCTCTGTTCGTTAGTCAATTTTCCGTAAATTCGTTCCGACGAAACTTTAGCGACACGAGTCCTTTCTTAAATAAAACTGGTTTATTCTTTCCGAATACAACTTTTCGATACACTTAATTTCAACAGTCGCTCTACAACAACGCTATAACTCACGTCTCACGTGGCCAACAATATTTTATCCGCATACATTCAATTACTCATTACCTCTCCGTCGCTTCGTGGCCGGTCTTATATATACCAGACTACCCCCAATCTAGTAATCTCCCGACAATTCACGAAGGAACAGGATATTTCTAGAAGGAGGTGGCGTGATACTAGTCACGTGATCTCGCTGTCGCAACAGTACATTACTTTATTTTGATTAGATTACAAGCTGTTTATTATTTAATTATTATCTTTTCCACTAGCAACCAAACCGCCGTATTTTCTGTGTATTTGTCGGTAAAATGTTTGTTTGTAGTTGTGCTTTATATGTTTACATTTAATCAGCGACACACTACCACATTTGTCTTTCTACAGTGTATATCCTCAAACCTCTATTGTTGCCGTAAGCAGGTGACTGTCACCTGTTCCTTTTTTTTTGTTGTAATTTATCCTACTTCCCCTTGTGTATAGAGGGTTGCTTTGCAGTTGTAACATAAAACAGGGACACTTCCATATCTTTGTGATTCAATTTTCTGATTGGTCAGTAACAGAGAGATAGAGAAGGTGCTTTCAAACAAGATTCTTTCTTATCTACGACGATAAAGAGATTTTCAGTTTTGAAAAGGCCAAAACGTGGTATAGAAGTGAGATTAACAATATTGTTCATTTTGTATTTTACTTTGAACGCAGTCTATATTTCATTCATTTTCACGACTCACTCATTTGGAGATTCAGCATTATTCCGTGATAAATATCCTAATTGAATCTCCTGCTATTCTGCAGACCTATGCCATTGCTCTTAAGTAACTTCGGTTTTACCTGGATGACCCATAAATGATGCTACAATATGATGAATAGTCAGATTACCTACAAGTCTAGCCATAAAAAATAAACATCATTGCAACTGTTCTTCTACTGTGTTTAAAATCTTCTATAAACCCTGTTAGTAGTGAGTCTATGGACTTGTAATGCTAAAAATGGGTTTTCAATACCCGCAATGAGCAGAGCATGTATAGGCCATTGTGTAGCTTTGTGTTGAATGAAAAGTACAGTTTGAAGCATGGTTTTGAAGTCGGCTTGGGAAAGCAGACTTGAGCTGTTGTAGTGCATATAACAGGGAAAATATGTAAATGTAAGAAGTGGTAATCTCATTTTAGTTAAACTTTAAAATTCGAACACAAGAGAATGTATTTTTTCTTTCTCACTGTTTAATAAAAGGTACAGAGTTTAACATAATTCAAAGCTATGTTTATTCCCTTTTGGTCACACACATAGGTGTGAAAGTGTAGTAAGGAGACATACTATGTGTTTTTCATCCCTTTAGTTAAAAACTAAAATTAATAAAAGAATAATTAATTACACTTACCACAACACATTAGTATTATGTGTATGACATTTCTTACACTGCATTGTTTATCTAGTCCCTTAGGGATTTTCAAGAAATAGAAGAATATGAAATAATAGCATTCAAATCACAGTATGTTCGCCATATCCATTACCAACTACATGTTTTACTCAATCCGGAGCTCATCAGGTCGTCTGGGACACAACAGACACAGTAATGATTGAACAATGTTTATATGATCCATTTGCTACAACAACAGTGGTTATAGTGTGAATACCTATTTTAAGCTGGCGAAGCACGATTATAGTTAATTACACCACTAACTGTTTCGCTGGCACAGATCGGTGCTTTATGTGTTATAGAGCCACTTCATGAGGAGAGCCTGATATCTGAGTAGAAGTTGAGTCACGGAGTACCTTTCGTGTATATAATCTTGGTAATGTGAGTTGCTTCAGCAGCAGTTGAGGATTACACCTTCTAGCAAGAAATAAACCCTTTCTGATAGAAGTGAAATGCTAAAGAAACTGATGGTCATAGGACGAGCAAAAATCTAGCAGGATCTATTGATGAGACATGGTCTGTGTCTTACCACTCAGCCTGAAATTTCGATGTCTTACTCATCGAGTCAGACTGTACAATCCTAGGTGAAACATGACTTCATCAGTGAAAGGTACACATCCGAACCACGTGAGCCACCTAGAATGGCCATTTGATTGAGAAACCAATAATTATCCAGGTGCACACCTCTTTGATATGGCAGCCCATTCTCGCTGGGACCAAATCCATCTAGAGACAGTTCACTTCTGAATTGTAAAACCTATCGATTTCATGTCTGCTCAGTTGTTTGACCACAAGCAGCTTGTGCAAAACCATGATCATCTTGATGCTGAACTGAAAATTGCTCTCTAATGAATACCTCATGGACAACAGAGCGAGTGAGATATAAAGAGCTCGCACACTTCAAGCCAGTAGACTGACAAGTATCGTGTGTAACTGACATGATCATACGCAAGAAATCAAGGTAAGAATGACTTAATGACAGAAAGGTGCAGGTCTCAGTTACCTTCTCTCATTGCTCTTTTTAGCAGCAATAGAAATTCAACCATATTGATGTAGGATCACCACACAGAAATGTTGGGCTCCTAGACTAATACAGAACAAATTTATTGTACATTTTCACCACTTGCTGAAACTGGTCTGAGTTGACACATTATGTGAAGGGTTCTTCTGAAAGGGATGTCTGCAGTTTTATCATTATCTCTAGTGCCTGTTAATTTTCCTTTTTTAAAAGTGATTCGAGGAAACTTTGCCAGTGGATGCATTCCATTGCGTCATCACTCATTTGTGTACACAAATACTCATGTTATAAATATGCCCATTCATTGCACCATTAAGAGAAGCTTGGGCAATGAGTCCTATTTTAATCACCAGTTTCTCCGGGCCTGTATCCCTGAATTATTTACTGATACAGGCTAACATAACAAGGGAAGTGCGGAAAGAACCAAGACAAAGAGTCAGCCATTCAGAAAATCTCTTACTGCTCCATCTGATCTGTTGGACGTTGGAGTAGATAGCTTGATCAAACACCACAACTACATCCGTTTGACTGAAAGCATCTACTATTTCTAGGCTCTTCTCGAGGAGTGTGTATAGAATGTTATACTCCACTGAACTTGCTTCTATGATTGGTAGATAGCCAATAGTGAACACTCCAGGTACTTCCTTTTGCAGCACTGTGCTGCAGCCAGTCCAGCCAGGGAGGATTTTCCCTGATACATCTATCAACTTCATCATACACAATGCCAGATCCAACTTCCGTGAAGAACTTTGGATTGATCAATGATGTTCATTCATAACAATAAATATTGTTACGTCTCCGTTTGTTAATTGATTTCCCGTAAATTCGTTCCGACGAAACTTTAGCG